CAAAGGTGAACATGTTAGAGATGCATATAATCATTATGTTATTCTAAGATGGCTAGAAAGAAGATGTGCTGAATGTAACTTTAATATGTAACAAGTGTGGTGTTAGGAATAGATATTTCTTTGTTCTCGGACCTTTAGAAAAAGGCCCTGCTGAAGGGACATTCCTTAATGCCAAGTAAGATAAGAAAAAGTCATGTCGGGGAAAATATGCGATGGGGAGGTGTTGAAGGAGATGATGTGGTCTCCATAAGGCATTTCGGATTAGCTGTGCTCGGTCACTGGGTCGATGTAGGAGGGGCATAGAAAAACTATAAGATGTAATGTATTGAAATCTTAAGGGGTGGTTCTTAGCTCAAACCTCATGTTGAGATAAGCTAAGATCCTACCACTCTTTGCAAGCAGCTTTTAAACTTTTGTCTGCTTTGATTTAAGCTTACAAATAAAATCTCTGTGTTTTCACCAATCCAAGTTTTTGTTATTTGGAGTCATTTCCAACATCTCCTTCTTACTTTCTCTAGTACATTCTCCATAGTTATCATTCTGTATTGTCATTTTGCTGGTAAGGTTGAAAATCAGATGGAAAAACTAAGATTAACCTAGAATGGTGGTGAAGTCAGATGAGGCTGAGTAGGTATGATTGAAGCCAATCTCCAAGGAGAAAGACCTCCAAAAATTAAAATCAGATAATGGCAGGCAAACTGCTTTCCAGTTATTCTTTTCATCTGCTCTTCCAATGAGTGGCATCTGTGGAAATGTCAGGCCTTCTAGCAGCATACTAAAGCTATATGCTGTGGAGTATTTGGCTAGGATGAGGGAGAGTAGAACGAGAAGAACTGTCTACTTCTACAAAGTATTCCTTCTGGCTTTCCATCCATATCCCTTCTGGGTATGAACCCAGAGGAGCTTCCAATTGTCCACATTGCCAATCATCTGCCTGAACAATGAGATTGCAAGATGGATAATATTTAGAAGGAGAAGGGAGGAAGGAGAGAAAACTCCTTAATTAAGCATGGTGAAAACAATGATTTGCAGATTAGTACAGTGACCCATAATATCTACTCAAGATGCTTGGATCAGTATAAATCCAGCCAATGCCATGCTAGATCTTCTAGAAATTATTATGTTCTAATTCCTTAATTCATAATTTAAACAAAAGCAGAAAATCTGTGGTTATTACCTTATAGGTTAGGGACATAACGTCCTTTCTTGTAAGACTAGTGTCAGCATACATTTTCCCTCTGTCTCTATCTTTTCATGACGCGAAACAGATGTCTGTTCTTTGGATTAGCACTTAATGAGAAAATGTTTTAATTGTCCTAAACTTGTGTGGTTTATATTATTGTTTGTGGGTCCACACACACAATTTTGGCAAAGAAGAACACATAGACATAAAAATGAATGTGCCCATTTTCCTATGAAAACTTCTCAATACATTTTTCTTATACATCTTCTCCTTACATTCACTATATTTAAATGCAAGGAAGCTGTAACCTTTATTTTTAAAATGCAATAATGGACTGTGCGGAACTAGATAAATTCACTATGGAACTGAAAGGCAAAGAGGATTGAGCCCTTTTGCAAAGCAAGACATTTTAGTGTACACAAATTCAGACTGCCTTTTTTCTCTTTTTTCCACATGGTTTGCTTCTACTAATAAAAATAGTAAAGAGTAATCAAAGACAGGGCTCTATCAAAATGAGGCCATAAACAAAGAAACTTTTCTCAAGAAGCTCTAATACAGAAAAAAGATGTAATAAGTTTCCTCAAGAAACACACAATCCATAAGTCTGAACCTTAATACTTGTACCTGTACTAGATCCCCATTATAAGGTCCTGTAGAGTAGACTAGATCCAGAAGATCACATTAGAGTCTTTAATACTGTTGTTAAACCAGTATTACTGGGCAAAAGATTCATTACAAGGCTGTGTCTGCCCATCTCTCTTCTCTATACCTTGAATTCAATAGCTCCCTTATTTTTCATCCACAATTATATCCCCAAACCAACTAATATCAGATTATAAGAAGTTTTGGCTTTTAGATGTTACTTATTTAGTTATTTAATCATTATATCTATATATCTATATCCATCTCCACCCACAGGATTCTAGGGTGGTGCATTACCTTCAATAAAACAACAATTTTATAGAAATGGAAAGGATAAAACAACAAGCCATTAGCTACTCAGAACAATAACATGATCTTTTAAAAAAATTAACTAACACACTTGGACAAATAAAATTGTTTCCAGAGAACAATTGGACAGAATGTGTTCTACAGAGATGTGTCCTTGATCCCCATCAGAATTACTTGTGAAATAATTATAACTTATGAGTGGTTTAGAACTAAAAAGAAAATAAAATGGCAATTAGGAAAAGAATGAGGAAGTATGTAAATATGTATATATGTTATAGAAATGATTGAAGTGTAAGATGAAATATATTGATTTGTAAGAAGAGTAAGATGTAATGGTAATGGAATAAGTAACCATATATTGAAAAATGTAAGGAAATGTAAAAGATGTCTTGATGTTGATAACAATACATATCATTTTATTTTATGTTTTTAAACTTTGGAATATCAGTAAAATATTTTTAAAAAAGAATTACTTGTGAAAGCCGTATATTTGAGAAAGGTGGGGATACTTTCCTGTGTGACACAATTCATTGGTCAATCTGTTTCTGTTTAAAACAAATAACCAAACAAAAAATATGTCTGTCTTGATTTTTCAAGGAGCATCCATTACAATGACTTGCTCAGTTGCAATTTCCACTCACTTGGAAGAAAACACTTAGAAAACACAGTAGCCCAGAGCACCTCTAACTTTGCCATACCACCATCTCCTAAAATGATAACAGAAATGGTGCACATACTCTCCCCCACCTCCAGTAAAACTAATCATTCCATTGCATTGCAGGTTTGGGTTAGAATTAAATATACCACTGTCAGGCACGAAAAATCAGAACCATGGGTTAAGTTGCAGTTAAGAAAATGTATTGCTCGAGCCCAGGGGTGTCAAACTCAAGGCCTGTGGGCCAGATCCAGCCCATGGGGTGGTTAGATCTGGCCCATGGGGCCGCCCTGAAAACAACAAAGGACTAGCCTACGGTACCTCTGCCAGCAAAAATGGAGCTTGTGAGGGCCACATTTTACTAGCAGAGGGTTGCAGGAGGCCATCACAGCCGAAAATGGAAATCAGGAGCTCATTTTCATTGGCAGAGAGCTCGAGCCACCACAGGTGCCCTTGACATGAGTGACATCAAGCTGGCCACACCCAGCCTGGCCCCCTGAGGTCAAACACAGCCCTGCTGAGACCCTCAGTGAAATCGAGTTTGACCCCTGCTCAAGTCTATATACAAGAATCTAGTCAACTAACGCTCAGTATTAAACTTGCACTACAGAAGGGTCAATGGAATTCACGAGAGAGTTGCACCATTTGTGGCAATGTAAGTACTCTAAGCTGATGACTCACTTAACTCTTCCCCTCAGCCCTGCCTGTTCTTCTCCTACAACCACTTATCAAAATCCAATGTAACTTACATAACACTCTCCTGACTAAGGCTTACTTTTATCAGTGTTATCAATGGCTTTTAAGGTCTCCCTTTAGCTTATCTATTGCCAGCCTTTTCCCAATCATTTGGGAAGGCTGGACATTTAAATTAATGAATAAGCTTACTTTCAAAAGACTATGGTTATTCTACCACACGGTGCTCCTTGTGAATGGCAGATGATGTTGACAGATGGCTAGGCCCACGGATTTAGTCATCCATGGAAACACACTTGAGTTTTCTTTCCCACTTTGCTTGCACAAAGCCAATCAATTCAGCTCCCCCCACCCCACCCCAGTTTGCTCACAACCCCCTGGGGATGGCAACCCATAATTGGAGAACAGCAGTGATCCAAACTCTATTTAAGAATAGTGGAGGAAACATGCTCAGATGTGCCCCCTTGAAGATTATTGCATCATGAACAAGCTTCCTGTGGAGAAAACTATATGTATGTATTGGGAGTGGGGGAAGCTCCTTTTTTGCAACGTACTTTAAAAAAGAACATTTGGCTTTTTCCAAACAAAAAACAAAAACCCTGTATTATGTGAAGTGTGTAAGGCTGCTGTCATTTGAACGCCATATCTGTTTTTAGTTACTTAAAAAAATGCAATTCATCCTCTCATTATGCATTGCCTTCATTATCTGGCCTCTGCTTAATAGCAGAAACTCTCCTTTATTCAATCCCTGTCATGCCATAGCATATAACTTTTATATACTGTTGTTGCTTTCTATCCCCATCTAGTGGCCGGAGGGACAAATATGCCTCAACATATGATCTTTATATACTGTTGTTGCTCTCCAGCCGCATCTAGTGGCCGGAGAGACAAATACCAAGTATATTGTTTGAAGCTGACCCCACCTCTTTACCCATCAGCCCGCACTCTCAAAATAAGTGCACGCTGCGAAGCCAGACTCCATTTCTTTAGTATTTGGAGAAGGCAGAAGCACAAAGAAGAATCCATCTTAATCTGTGGCACATGGTCATTCAAGGACTAACCCACATCCCACACACAGAGCATCGCTGGTGAGATTTAAATTGCTTGTATTTATTAATTGTTATGTTCAACAATAACTCAATACTGTCTATCTTGTATTTGATTCTCATTGTATGTATCCCTGTTTTCCCCAGCTTCACCCTATCCTGTTCTTTCAATAAAGCATTCAGATCTATGCATGCGGTCTGTTTTATTGGAGGGTAGGTGGACTTAGCTGCATGTTGAGCTGCACACAGAACAATCCCATTACAGCTACAGTTGGTTACCAACCTAGAATGTAGATGGCCAACAGGCACCCTTTAGGCCTTCACTTAAGCCATGACGATCTATCTACCAAAGGGCCTTCATTGCTTTGTCATTTGCTGTATTTCAACCACCTCCATCTCAAGCAGTTGAAAACTTTCCCCAAAAGTAACCGTGGGACACGAAGGGGAAAGGGGGAGGACCCAATCTACTTACATGTAATGTAAGTGAGGATTCTTATCAAACGCTCGTGGCTGGATGCTTCGGAGCCCTGAGTTCGTGATTGTCCTGCAAAGAGATGCAAAAGGACAGTAAAAGCAACCCATAAAGAAAGAAAGAATTGGTGAAAGTCAGGAATTCAGAGATCTCACGTAACATTGAATCAGAAGAGATAATTGGAAGACTATCCTGCCAGGCTGAATCCGGAGACCATTAAAACATCCCCCTTCATTGGGGAGCGAATCTGTCAAGATAGTTTTTTCTCAGTACCTGGGCAGCCAAATATGTCAACTACAATTATTTGAACTTCAGTTTCTTTTTGGAATAACTTTTCCACTACAATTCAAAAGCATTTAGTGCACATTTGTGCAAACGTGCCTCTCTCTTTTTGGGCAATTCTGCCTAAGGTACACAGATTTTTAAAACATTTTTCTTAGTGTAATACACTTTTATGAATGTCTGTCTGTCTGTCTCTCTCTCTTTATCTATCTATCTATCTATCTATCTATCTATCTATCTATCTATCTATCTATCTATCTATCTATCTATCTATCTATCTATCTTCTCTCTCTCCCTCTCCCTCCCTTTCTCAGCAGAGAGACAGAGAGAGGAAAAGGAATCCCCTTGGAGGATAAGATGCAGCAGCAGGCTGCCCCATGATTAATTTAGCCTCAGTGTGTATCATTTCCACAAGTCCAAATGTGAGGAGAATACCAGCCAACTTTGTATAGCTATTTTAAGGATTTGCAAGGCAAAATGAAGCATTTCATCTGCCTAAGGCATTATTAGTTCAATGCTTTTTGACAGCTTTAGTCTCAAACAAAAGAAGCATATATCAAAGTCAGTTCATCACTTCATTAGCCCCCAGAGTGCTCTGCAACTTGAGTTGGTAGCATGGGATACCTCAGATGTTGCTCAGCTACAACTCCCAGCATCCCTTGCCATTTGCCCTGCTTTGTATGGATCCTGGAAGTTTCTAGAACAGTGACTATTCCATAAAGTGACTATCTCTAGTCTGTACTAGATAGCAAACTAGCTGCTACTAAGAATTAAACCAGAAAACGAATGGGTGGGAAAATGGAAACTACGTTGATTCTCTGAATTAAATCAGATTTCTTTTTTTTATAGTTTTTATTCAAGAAAAAAATATTTTAAAAAGAGAATCATTTTCTCACATTTTACGGTGTTTTCATATTAGTGTTACTTAAGATCATTTACTACAAAGATATCTTAAATCTAATTCCTGATTTCTTACTTATCTATGTTATTAATATGTCATGATACATTGTTTGTTTTCCTATGTTACTACACTACTACACCTATACACATAGCTATACTATACATATATTCATAGCTATACATTTATCCTTACTTCTGTTGTTCCATAATATTTCTTTAATCATTTTCACTATACATCTTTATTTCCTTTTCATTTAACCATTTGTACCATGTATTCCATGTTGTAAAGAATTCTCCCTCTTCCTTGTTTTTTAATATCATAGTTAATCTAATCATTTCTGTGCATTGATAAATTTTGTTGATTACTGCTAAATCTGTGGGTACCATTGTTAATTTCCAATTTGGGGCAAAGGCTATTCTTGCTGCTGTGATGATGTGTAGTATGCTGTTGTTTTTTTGCTCCATGACAGTTCTGGTATTCCCAATAAGAAGGTCTCTGGGTTGAGTTTAATCTTTAATTTTGTCATCTCTTCCAGCCCTGTATTTTAGACCAGTATTTGCGAGCTTTGGGGCATGTCCACCACATGCGAAAATATGTTCCCTGGCTATAATTGCACTTCCAGCATTTGGGTGACATATTGGGAAACATTTTTGCCAATCTTGCCGGTGGAAGGTGCCAGTGATAGAACATTTTATAGATATTTTCTTTATATGATACTGATAATATTAATTTATAGTTGGTTTGCCATATTTGTTCTCATTGTTCTAAGTGGATGTTATGACCACAATTTTTAGCCCATATTATGAATTAAATCAGATTTCTAAGCTACATTCAGCAGCTTGAGGTAAACTGTCAAATCAAACCAAAGACCTCTACATCCATTTAAACAATTTAATATCTTGTTCTTTAATCAGTTTGGAAGTCTGGATCAGATTGATTCAAAGGGATGAGTCAAATTGGAGTCCAAAGCCAATCAGTTTTCTGAATCAATGTGGAGGTCTGAATCAGATTATAGATCTAAATCAAATCGATGTTTCAGACTGTTCTTTTGTTTTTTGTTTTTTTGCCTGACTTCCATGTCTCTAGCAGGACTTCTGTAGGCCAAGAGAGCATTCTGTCATTGAGCGATAGCTGGTTCCCAAGCAACCAAAAATTGCAAGCAGTGACCAAACATCTTGATGGAAAATGAATAGCAATCCATGCCCAGCATCAAAGTACTACTTTCCATCTCTCCATCATTTTCTTATAGCTTATAGTAATTTATAAATTGATTTAGCATTGAAAATACATACATTATTTCTTTAGAGATACAGACACGCACACACTGTATATATACTGTACATATATATACCTATGCTATACATTCCGAAAGCCTAAAATCCTATAAATAAAATATAAAATAAAATATATACCCCCTTTTATTTAAAAAAAAGTACATACTTATTTCAATGTTGTTGTTTTATTTATCAACTGGATTTCTATTTTCAATTAATAATACTAATATATAATAAAATACTTGCAACGAACAGTGAACTCCGTATTTCCCACCTCTTTATAATTCTTTAACTAGGCCACAAAAAATGGAAAAGTAATCACAGCAACAACAATCAAAAAGAGAGTCACAAATATAGGTAAAATCAACACTGTTATCAGAGAGTAAAATAGCATTAGCAATAGCATTTAGACTTCTATTCCACTTCACAGTGCTTTACAGCCCTCTCTAAGCAGTTTACAAAGTCAGCCTATTGCCCCCAACAATACTGGGTCCTCATTTTACCCACCTCGGAAGGATGGAAGGCTGAGTCAACCTTGAGCTGGTGAGACCCAAACTGCCAAACTACTGGCAGCCGGTAGTCAGCAGAAGTAGCCTGCAATACTGCATTCTAACCACTGCGCCACCACAGCTCTTATAAAAAACAACATCCAGCTGAAAGTCTAAATTGTGGCTTGCATGCTCTCACCTTTTTAAAGGTCTCATACTTTACCAAACAAATTTATTCTCCTATGTTGCCATTTTCAAATAGAACTTTTCTGACAGAATGTCTCATAAGATGTAAATGTGATTTTTGATTGTTCCTAACCCAATGAATATGCTTTGTAAGAATATCAGTTACTACATTTTATCTTCCCCTCCTTTAAGGGAATATGTCTACAGTATATCTGTTTCTTTGACTTTTGTTTTAAAAATCCTTTGCCAACAGAAACACAGAGACACAATCACAATTCCAGCACTAAATTTAGAGACATTCTGAGCAAGCCACTTTCCATGCACACATGGGTAAATCCCACAGAGGACATTTGCTTCTTGGAGGTAAGTTTCAGAATAACTTAGCAAAATTGCTTTTTTGTTGACTTGTGGGGAGATGCAGCTAAATTACCATAGGATTTGCTTTCTTGACAGAAAGCATTTAACAAATTTAAATCCCCAAAAACATTTAGAATGGAAGTTCTCAGAGGAGGAACATGAAATTGATAAACCTGAAATTGATTAACAGGTTGAGTCTCAGCATCATGCGCAGCATGGACATGGATTCCCAACTATGTTTTATAGAAGGGGTCCTCATCCTTGGCAATTTGAAGACATGTGGAATTTCAATTCCCAGAAGCTGGCTGAGGAATTCAGGGAGTTGAAGTCTACATGTCTTAAAGTTGCCAGGTTTGGAGATCCCTGTTTTAGAGTGATTTATAAAGTTCCATATGCAATTTCAGGGCTGATGATTTGAAGGTAGGTTAGCTAGTCAATACTCCACCAAAAAACAGTGAAGCAAGTTGATCTGCAAGAAGCAAATAGTTTTGTCCAAGCACCCAAGTCTAAACCAGAATTACAAACTCTCCACAGAACAAATTATCAGAAATACCAGCTACATAAAATGAACTGAGATTCTAAATTCTTCAGTCATCTAATCCCAGCTGCAGTTAGGCCCAATAATCTGTAGACTTTACCTTTGGAGAGCTGTCATGGATCTACAGTCCCAAAACAAAAATTTGATTGCTCCCCTATTCATGTTGGCTTATTTGATGTGAGAAGATGCCACCTCAGCAAAAGCACAACTGTCTTCATGAAGCCCATGATGCTGTTTTATTTCAGAAAATAGCAGAAGGAGCCCAAAAGATGGGTGAGCATACATTTTGTGATTCAGTGAAACACTTCTAAATCCAAGTTCATCTGTACATAGTGAGTCACAAGAATATGTGGTCTTAAGCCAATTGAGTATGTAAAATATTCATACCAGAAACATACTTTACCGATAGTGTAGAAGAACAGACCTGGTCAAGCTTTGCTTGTTCTCAAACTGGGGCAAAGATATACATCAAATAATACACAATACTCACAATCTCTGGAGTCCTGTGTACAGCTCCATGTCTACAGCATGCAAAGTCTGCAAATTCTTCCAATACTCTATGTATCTATAGGGAGATAACAGGATGGGAAGGAAAGAAGGTGACTTTAGTATAGAAATACAATGCATTAACTTTCAGAGGAACCATCTATGGAGATTCTAGTATTTAGTATTTTTTAGTATTTATTTGATTTGTCAATCGCTTACAAGATACAGGTATAAGAATAAATATAGTTTTGAATATATGAGATAGATACTTATAAGAAAAATAAAAAACAATAGGACAGAGACGGTAGGCACGATTGGTGCGCTTATGCACGCCACCTACAGGCCTCTTAGGAAGGGGGTGAGGTTAATAGTAGACAGTCTAAGGTTAAAGTTTTTGGGGTTTGGGAAAGAAACTACAGAGTCAGGTACAGTATTCCAAACATTGACCACTCTGTTGCTGAAGTCATATTTTCTGCAGTCAAGTTTGGTGCGGTTACCTTGAGTTTGTATCTATTGTGTGCTCTTGTATTGTTATGATTAAAGCTGAAGTATTCATTTGCAGGTAGGACATTGCAATGTATGATTTTATATACTATACTTTAGATCGGACCAGAGGCGGCGTAGTTCTAGATTTTTTTAAGTCTAGAGTTTCAAGTCTGGTGGCAAAAGGTATTCTGCAATGAGTAGAGGAGTGGAGAACTCTTCTTGTGAAATATTTCTGGACTTTTTCAATTGTGTTAATATCAAATACATGATATGGGTTGCAGACTGATGAGCTGTATTCAAGTATAGGTCTAGCAAATGTTTTGTATGCTCTAGTTAGTAGTGTGATATTACCAGAGAAGAAGTTTTGTAGGATTAGATTAACAAGTCTTAATGCCTTTTTGGCTATGTAGTTACAGTGGGCTCTAGCACTTAGACCATTTGAGATGAGTACTCCAAGGTCCTTGATAAAGTTTGGATCCTCAACAAGGTCTTGACTATTTAGCTTGTATTTTTTTTTCTGATTTTTTCTGCCAATATGTAAGACAGAGCATTTATTTCTTGAGATTTGAAGTTGCCATTTGATTGACAATTCTGATAAGGTCTTTTTGAAGGGTAGTTTCTCAGTCACCCAGGTCATGGTTGTCCCAAAGATGCTTTTTCAAGAGGCAACTGGCCTTTCTTATTTTTCTTTGAAGATGTTTCACTTCTCATTCAAGAGCTGAAGAAGCTTCTTGAATCAGAAGCTAAATGCCTTCAAAGAAAAATGAGAAAACCCAGTTGTTTCTTGAAAAAATTTCAGAGGAACCATTGAGTAGACGGTAGAATCAGTAATAGAAAAAACTCTGACAATCTTTGAAGTTGGTGGCTTTCAACTGGCTCTTTATGATGCCAAATCCATGTGCCATATAGCTTTATGATGCTTGAATCTGGTTTAGGTGAGATGAATTTGGCAAGACAGCAGGTAAACCTTGATATGACATAAAATAATGATAGGAGACTTCCTAAGTAGAAAGAATCACCCAAATTATTATTTTTACTGATCATATTAAATGGATACAATTTTAAACCATTCAACATTGCTTTGCACATAAACTAAGGACAGGTAGGATTCCATATTTAATCTACTAAATTGTTGGGAGTAACAGAGCAAAACTTCTAACGAAAATAGTGTGTTCTAATTAATTGATACATTCAGCAGATGCATTTCCTTCAATTACTCCTACAGCTGTGGTTCTCAGTCTTTTCTTCACCATGGACCCCCTTTAATTCCCTTTTGTGGCCATGGATCCCCAAGACTTAATTCAAGATTTAAACAATAACATTTCTTCAAGCTTTCATGGATACCTTGTGATGATATTGTGGACCACAGGTTGAGAACCACTGTACTACAGTGTCTTCAAGAGGCAGATAAATAAGGAACGACACCTCTTCCATGGGAAAACCCCAATATGAAGTAGATCAGGAGGCTTCAAACCTGACAGCTTTAAGACTTGTGGACTTCAACTCCCAGAATTCCTCCTCCAGTCATGTTAACTCAGGAATTCTGGGAGTTGAACTCCACAAGTCTTAAACTTGCCAAGTTTGAAGACCCTTGGAGTAGATAATCCCCTAAACACAAGAATATTTTTCCCCTTTCCTAGGCATAGTTATTGTTTTAAAAAACAAGACTCCTTTCCCCCCTTATGTAACCAATTCACTAAAGAAAACCTAGTTAATAAATCAGTTTTGTCATTATTAATTAATCCTCTTATAGCTCAAACCGAGAGAGGAAAAATATTTTTAAAAAGTGTCCTCTAAGTTTCTACAGTTTTTAAATCTTTGTAAAATCTTGTTTTTAAAAATAAAAAAGAAGCTGCCCAGAGGAAAAATGAAGGCAGATTTTCCTCAGATCAGCAATGGACTCTTCAAAGAGCTGACCACCAATCAGAACTGCTGGACAATAGCTTGCAGCCTATTTGAATGTGTAAGCCAAGTTATTTCCTTCTCTGTTCCTCCCTGCATGTCCTAGGATGAAGCGGGGACGGGCCTGGTTCTTCCTCTGACTGCCCAGCCAGCCTCTGCCCCTCCCCAGCCTCCTCCACAACTTCCGGAGCAACACCTTCACTCCCTGTTGGCTGTTCCTTCTCTCCCTCAGAGTCTGACTCTAACAAGGGCATGGCATCAGCTTTCTGAGGTACTTTAAATTGTGGCTCTTCTTTTTATTGAACACGTTTTAGTATTTGCACCCTGCTTTTTTTCAAAATTGTTGCTCAAGATAGTTTCCAATTAAAGACACACAATATAAAATATTAGACATGCCACAACAAATTAACGTAAAGCAAAATCACAACAAGCTATAGTAACCAGAAGAGAAACTAAAATTAAAAAAAGAACTCTAATATTGAAAACAGTAAATAATTTTTTAGATAATTTAGACATACAATTTCAGTATAAAATGTAGTGTAAAATGTAGTGTTCGTGATCAGGAAATGTTCCAAATGTTTTGTCTAGATATCCAAAACTTTCTTAGGCAAAAGTCTCAGGGACATGAGTACCACTGAGACCTGGAAAAATCCCATTTTCTATTGATGTCTAACCTGCAGTAATATCCCCTCAACCAGAGAATTTCTTCCTAAACCTAAGAATTTGGGGAGTTGAAAGTACAAGACATTAAGTTGAAGACAGTGATTTGAGATACCCAGTTTGGTTACAGTATGACATCCAGAAGTAATATGTGAAGTTCTAAAAGTATATGTAAGCCTTAGGTGTTCTGATAAGGTTTCCTAGACCGTAATTATGCACATGCTTATTTTAAAAACAAGTCTTAATTTATTGCAACACTGGGAATTGTTTTTATTCCCAGCTGGTAATGAATTTCAAACAGTCCCTCGAGATAAGCACTCACCTTGCTTTTCTGTGAAATGCTGCCAATAACAGAAGTATCAAATGAAGTAGACAAAAAACCAACCAAAGTACAAAGAGCTTCAAGAATGAATCTGAACTGAACAACTTTGCTTCCTGCAAAGGTTTCATCAGCACCTGTCCTTTATATCTCATGGGAGGGGCAATCACCTCCCAGCCTTACTCCCAAGTCACCCCTTTACAGATACAGACACAGATAATCAGAGTTGGAAGGGACCTTGTAGGTCATCTATTCCAACCCCCTGCCCAGCAGACCCTACACCATTTCTGACAAATGGCAGTCCAATCTCTTCTTGAAAGTCTCAACTGATGGTGCTCCCACAGCTGTTCCATGGATTGATTGTTCTCACTGTCAGAAAGTTTCTCCTTGTTTCCAGGTTAAATCTCTCCTTGTTCAGTTTCCATCCATTATTCCTTGTCTGGCCTACAGGAGCTTTAGAAAATAGCTTGACCCCCTCCTCTCTGTGGCAGCCCCTCAAATATTGGAAAACCGCTATCATATCTCCCTTGGTCCTTCTCTTTACTAGACGAGCCAAGCCCATGCAACTGTTCATTGTATGTTTTAGCCTCCAGTCCCCTAATCATCCTGGTTGCTCTTCTCTGTACTTTTTCTAGAGTCTCAACATCTTTTTTTATAATGTGGTGAGCAAAACTGGATGCAGTACTCTAGGTGTGGTCTTACTAAGGCTTTATAGAGTGGTATTAGTACTTCCCTTGATCTTGACTGTATCCCTCTGTTAATACAATTTAGGATTGAATTAGCTTTTTTGGCGGCTGCTGCACACTGCTGGCTCATATTTAGCTGGTTGTCCACTAAGACTCCAAGATCCCTCTCACAGTTACTGCTATTGAGCCTGGTTTCACCCAGTCTATATGGGTACTTTTGGTTTTTCTTGCCTAAGTGTAGGACTTTACTTTTCTCTATATTGAATTTCATTTTATTAAATATGGCCCAGTGTTCTAGTCTGTCAAGATCCATCTGGATCTTGAGCCTATCTTCTTGGGTGTTAGCTATTCCTGCCAGCTTAGTATCATCTGCAAATTTGGTAAGTTCTCCTTCTATTCCCTCATTTAAGTCGTTAATGAAGATATTGAAGAGTACTGGGCCTAAGACGGAACCTTATGGCACCCCACTGCTTACTTCCCTCCATGTAGACTTAGACCCATGAAGGACTACTCGTTGAGTATGGTTTGCCAGCCAGTTGCGAGTCCATCTAGTGGTGCTGCTATCTATTCCACTTTTTTCTTGCTTACTTAGGTTGTGGTCTACTTTATCGAATGCCTTGCTGAAATCTAAATATATTATGTCCACAGTATTTTGCTGGTCTACTAATTTAGTCACTGTGTTGAAGAATGAAATAAGATTGGTTTGGCATGATCTGTTTCTAACAAACCTGTGCTAGTTATTACTTTACTTGTTTCTAGATGTTGGCAGATCTGTTTTTTTATTATCTTTTCCAGTATCTTCCCGGGTATTGATGTTAGGCTGATTGGTCTATAGTTTCCTGGGTCTGTTTTTTTTTCCCCTTTTTTGAAGATGGGAACCACATCAGCTCTTTTCCAGTCCTCTGGTAGTTCCCCGATGCTCCAGGATTTTTGAAAGATATGGTGCAGTGGTTCTGAGATGACCTCTGCCAGCTCCTTTAAAACTCTGGGATGTAATCCATCAGGCCCCGGTGATTTGTTTTCATT